TTATTACTAGTAGTGTTTGATAATAAATAATTACACATTTGAATTCATGTATGCAAACTAGCATCGAGACGTAACCATATTTTCCAGTTTCAAGCCACATTTCCAAAAGTTATCCTAAACATAGATCACACCTTATTCATGCTCATTTGCTCAAACTACTTTTGTTCTTCGCTGTACTAAACACACTCTAAACCATACTTTGATGTATAACCAAGAATCACATAAAGTGTTATACACTTTGTTTTCAATATCTCTAGCATAAAGATATGTGTTTTTTGTCTCATAACTGAAGAGGGGGCGGTTCACTGATTTCAGGAACAAGGTGCCGACGAGGTAGCTGAAAGCATTTATCAATTCATTTCCTCCTTACCCAAACCCATTAAACAGTCAGAGGAAGAACCAATGCCCGAGCATGTCCAAGAGATGTTGAAAGACGCACAAAACATTGATCATGACCATATCCACAGTCATGGACACGAACACTATGATGGACACCATGGTCATGCCCACGCTGGATATATGGATGCATATGGGCTTGGGCATGGATGGGAAATGTGATTTGCTAATATTTATTGGAAAAGTGGATTTTGCTTGCTCGTCTAAGCTCAGCTAAGATATATTGATATCTCATTTTTTCTCTCCTTCAATCACTCTTGTTGCCCTGCAAGAGCTGTTATTGCTGCTAGCTTGAAAGCGGAGATAATCTATAGCAGACTGGACTGGAAGGTTTTGTTGACAAGGTTGCGTAAATTGTTACATGACTTGGCCTTTCAATTCTTCCCTGCATAATCTTTATTAATGCAATCCAGAAATATTGTATGCCACGACTACTTTGAGTTGAATTTCTTGGAGTCCTTTTAGGCTTTCACCAACTAGTTTTATTTGGCCATATTGAAGTTTTACATAGCTGCGTGTTAGCTGTTTTGACCCTGTTTTGGAGCAGTGAAATGGAATTCCAATGATGATGTTTTTAACTGGATTGAAATTTTCTAGTTGTAACTTGTAACTGGTTTGGTTTAATAGATGTTTGTTACAGATTATATGTGAAGTTTACAATTGTCGAAGTATGATTTGTTCTGATCTAATCTGATCTGTTTAGGTCGGTTTTGGGACTAAAACCCGCCCAATTAAAATCATCCTTAACTTGAATTTGATGCTAATGGCTTTCCTTTATTTGATTCATCAAACTCTACAATGTATAGTTAGAAATAAGGCTGAACCTGGTTCCAGAATCGGACAGAAATCAGGTGTTTAAAAGGAATGAACTAGTCTAATCTGGTCTTGTTTCCTCCCATAAATTTTACCACAAGGCTGGTTGGCTGGTTGCTCGAACTAAAGTACTAAAGGAGTGTTTGCAGTTGATTAAAAAAAGCACTTTTCAGCTTTTGGCTTAAAAAAAGTTAAACAGAGTGTTTTCAAATGACAGCTTCTGCTTAAATTAATCACTTAAAAGCTAAAAGTTGGAAGCAGGTGGAAGGGTGCTTTAAACTGCTTTTCACTTTTTCAATTACACAAAAAGTATTTATTTTACCAAACACTACCAACTTTTACTTTTTCAGAATCACTTTTTTCTCAAACACTACCAACTTTTACTATTAATCACTTTTCCCCAAATCACTTTAAAAAATCACTGTTTTAAAGTTGAAGCAATTGCAAACACTCCCTAAACCTTTCCACAAGTGATTTTTATGTTATGTTAGTGTATTTTCAACTTATATCAAAATATACATACCAGAATAGATCGAAACTGGTTTAGGTAATTTGCTTAGATTTTAAATTTGTAATGATTAAAAGCAGCATCCACTGAAATTGACTATCTAGACATGAACATAGTCACAAATTTATTAAGGTTCTCCAAGGGAAACCATAGCATCTGTATCTTTGATGGTTCAAGTTAAAATCAAATGATCATGATTTTGTTATCTTACACTTGAACTCACACCTACACCTTTACAAAAAATGGGTTTGGATTTTTACAATTTATTTCCCGTGAGTGTTGGCAGAGTTGACCCGACCCGGAGTCCCGGAATATCCAGGTCCAACTTTTAAAATTATTTTAATTTTCTCAATTTTGTATTTTAATTTTAATAACTTATTTAAATTGTTAATGAGAAAGAATGTGTACAAGGTTGTGTCACCATGATTCAAGATAATGTGACACTACAAATTAAAGATAATAAAGTAATTACATATTTATGTTTTTTTAAAATGTGATTTCTTATGTGCAGTTTCTATAAAAGTAACTTTAGTCGTGATGATTTATGTTTAACTTTATACTTAAGTAATCATGCAACACCTTTAAATATATCTTTATAAATAAGTTTTATTTCTATAGAACGCTTTAAAAAATCTCCATTCTTTATGAAACTTATTAATATTTATATATCTACATTATCCATTGGATAAAGAAATTCAAGTTGAAACTATAAATACATAGACGAATCAATAACACACACACACCGAACTAGGTTTATTGGTCCATACTTAGGGAATGTTTGTAACTGTTTCTGCTTAAAAAAATATTTTTGGAGTGATTTGGAAAAACTGATTAGTAGTAAAAGTTGATAGTGTTTGAGAAAAAGTGATTTTGAAAAGTAAAAGTTGGTAGTGTTTGGTAAAATAAGTGCTTTTTGTGTAATAGAAAAGGGAAAAACACTTTTCACACAAAAGCCGAGAAAAGTCAAAATTGATAGTGTTTGGTAAATAAGTGCTTTTTAAGCCAAAATCCGAGAAATGATTTTTTTAAGTAGTTGCAAACCAGCCTTTAGAGTTTTAAGCCCCTATTTTTTGAAGCCTAGTGGATTATAAGTTTGATAGTCATTTGATCACCCTGTTTTTCGGCTTATCAGGATTATTAGTTAACTTTTTCACCAAACATGTAACTTTTTATTTCGACGTGCTGAGTTGTGCAATAATAAGAAAAAGTAAGGTTGACGTTACTTTTCTGGCTATATTGACTGAAGTAATTGTAGAGTCCATTTAGCTATTTTTTTCATGTATTTTTTTCCTTATTTTATTAATCAAATATATTATATATATAATTTTTTAATAAATCAGCAGAATCAGCCAATCTAGCAACTTAAGTCAAAACTTCATAAATTTCAACAGAATCAGTCGATTCAACCAATTTCAGTATTACCAAACATGCTCTCGGTATGATATAGTTCGATTCAACTAATTTCAGTATTACCAAACAGGCTCTCGGTATGATATAGTTTTTTCGTATTTGAGGTTGAACCAAGTGCAACTAAAAACATACTCATATTTTATTTCATTATGAACATGACCCCATTTGTAGAGGGGTCTACGCATACGCAATATTAAACTAGTTTCGTCCCATTTGTCAAGTTGATGTTGCATGTGAAATTAGAATAATAAAAACTGTATGATTGAAGTTTTGTGCGGAGGACATAGACATGAACATAGTCACAAATTTATTAAGTTTATGCTATGTTTGGTATGATGTAATCAATCATATAATGTAATGAGCATTACGTGTTGATTCAAATACAGTCTTTGGCATGTCATTTTATTTTAAGCCGTAATGTAATGCGCATTACATATGTGGAATCCATTACTTTAATATGTGTAATAGGCTTTACATTAGAATCGTAATGTATTTGATATTACATTTTCTTGTATTTTTAAGTGTGGCCAGCTGTTCCCTCTTTCGGCAGATGATTTTTCCCTTTCAAATTTGAAAATTTTCTTCTTGCCGAGTGTTCTACCGTGGCTAACCAAACATAGTAATGGAATATTGTTTCATTCCATTACATTACGAGTTTTATTGCATTACATACTTCATTCCAATACATTGTATTACTACACCATAGCAAACATAACCTTAATGAGTCAAACTGTCTCATTAAATTTAAATTTGGCACATTAACTCCATGTGATTTAAAAAATGTGTCAAACCTCCCGTGTTATAGTTATTCATGCACAAACCCCTTCAATGAACAAATTTAATTGTCAAATAAATGAAAAATGATTCGGGAAATCCTGATAAATTTATTTACATATTTAATCGTACTATTAAGAAAAGCGATTTCAAAATTGTAAAATTTATACTTAGACGTGTTTTGCGCATAAATAATTATAACACATGAGAGTTAGACACATTTTAAAATCATAGAGGTCTGATGCTCTGAATTTATATATCAGGAGAGAGTTTGTTGCCTTAAACACCAAATTCATCACTTTAATGTAATTAATCATGTATTTTTTTTAATCCGGTAGGCAAAGCAACTAAATCAGTGAGGTAAATGCCGGGGAACATTTACCGGATTTTATTAAAAAATAGAAAAAGGATACAAAAGAGGGGGTCTAGGCCAATACCTCTCCAATAAGGAAATTTCAAGAATAAAAAGACATAAATTCTAATGAGGGGGCTAGGTCTGACTCATTAGGAAAAGAAAAAGAGATTAAAGTCTAAAATATGGATAGCCAAGAAGATCTGCCAAATAGTATTTCCGAGCTAATTAAGCCCGGAAGCGTATCCACCATTTTAAAAATATTAAAGTAATGGACGGTTTAATTTGATTATATAATGTAATGAACATTACACGTTGATTCAAATACAATGTTTGATATATCATTTTATTTTAAGTCTAATGAAATGTGCGTATGTGGAATCCATTACTTTAATATGTGAAAGATAGTGTATTTGAGATTACATTTTCTTGTATTTCTTTTAAGAGTACCTAGTTGGTTTTTCCCATTCAAATTTGAACTTTTTCTTTCTTCCCGAGTGTTCTACTTCTGCCAACCAAATATAGTATAGAAGTATTGATTTCATTCTATTAGATTACAATTTTCATTGAATTACATATTTACATACTTCATTCCAATACACTGTATTATTTGTACTACATACACCCTACCAAACACATAGCCTAAAAGAAAAGTTGGATAGCATAGAATATTTGATTATGCCGTTATGGATTAATAATAATTAATTAAACGGGAATGATTGGACCACAAGTCATTATCTTTCGAGAGTCAACGAAGATGGCTGTGTATTTGTGTAGAACTCCAATATCGACCGACGGTCACAAAAAATGAACATTTGAACAATGAACCTCTACCACTAAGAACCGGAGCCAGAAAAAGATGGGATGTTGTTGTGACGAAGAAGACGAGCTGCTTTTTGTGCCATTGAATCCACAGGAAACCGTTCAAACTCCTCCCTCTTCGTCTTCCGGCACAACCACAGCCTACGGCGGAGACGCCGTTATCTCCCCGATGAATTCCAATTTCCCTGCTTTGCTATGCCAGGACACTCTCCGCGCGATCCTCGAGAAGCTCCCTCTGCCTGACTTAGCACGCGCGGCGTGCGTTTGCAGGCTCTGGAATGCAGTCGCCTCCGATAGGGAGATGAAGACCAGTGCGTTCAAGGCTCCATGGAAGCTCAAGGACATCATTGGAAACCCTAGCTCGGGTGCTTTCTGGAGAGACAATAGCATCTCCAAATTCGCCATTTCTCACCGAATTGTCCGTGGTGATAGTTTAGCTAGCCTAGCTGTCAAGTACTCAGTTCATGTATGATCTATCTGTCTCTCTCTTACTTTTCTATAGATAACTTTTATGAACTTTTGTGATGGGATTAAACAATTGAACAATTAAAGAAGGTGGAAATGGTTTGGAGTCGATGCGATCTCAAACTAAAGGTGCACCATCTTGTATTTTTGAATTAATTCGTTTAAGTATTGCTCATTAAGTCATTATATTATAGAAGTGATGGAAGTTACAGAACCTAGAGCAGGGGCTGCACACATTTTGGTGCTTAATAACTGTAATCTTCTGCTTACTGGAGTAACTTCAAAGGATGTGAGAAATCATAAATTTATCATACTTCATTAGTAATAGTTCCCATCTCTAGGTCAATGAAGAAGGATTAGACAGTTCCCAAAAGATTGATGAGTTTTTGTAAGTACCAACTACTAAGAAGAAAAATTATGCATTTCAAGTTTATGATATAGAACGCACTAGCTTACAGCTCATCTATCTACCCGAGTATCTACCATTGATTGCAGAATTGAAATGATATTAGCTCTATTAGCTTTGATTGAACAACATTGACAATCATTACCTCAGATCTCTTATTTTAATTAATTCATTTTGAAACTGAGGAGCATAGTGCTAAACTGGTGACCTTCAAGTGTAACCAATTACTTCTCTCTTTTCATGTTTTTTTTTTGTGAATGCTATACCTAACATAGTCCTTCCTCCCTCCCTCACCCACCCCATTTCAAGTTTATGATATAGAATGCACTATCATACAGCTCAACTATCTACCGGAGTATCTATCACTGATTGCAGAATTCTAATGATATTAGCTCTATTAGTTTTGATTGAACAACATTGACAATCATTACCCTGGATATCTTATTTTAATTAATTTGTTTTGAAATTGAGGAGCATGGTGCCAAACTGATAATCTTCAAGTGCAGCCAATTGCTTCTCTCTTTTTTGTTTTTGCTTTTTGTGAATGCTATACCTAGTTAACTTCAAAATTTTAGAGGAAATGCTTTAGTGCACTGTCTAAATCTTTTTCATTCATATTATTATATAATACGGAAATTGTCCTAAATAGGACTAATGAGTTCCTTAAAAGCACAAATAGGACTACTACTTTTTAAATTCCCTAAATAGGACTAAACATTGATTTTCTACCCTAAATACCCCTAAGAGTATTAATTCCTAATGAAATGCTTTAATTCATAATAAAATCATAAAAAAACGTAAAAAATATTTAAAAAACGTAAAAAAATTATAAAAATTTATAAAAAAATTATAAAATAAAAAATTTAATTTTTTATTTTTTTAATTTTTTTAAAAAAATAATAAAAAATAGTAAAAACCCATAAAAAAATGAAAAAAATTATGGATACCCTTCCCACCGCCTCCTGCCGCCTCCCACCACCACCACCTCCGATTGGTGAAATTTCTTCCACTTTTGGTAAAAAAATGCCATCTTTTTCTGAAAATGCCAAAAAGATGGCATAATTACTCTTCAATATGCCAACATTTTCATTGAATATGCCATCATTATGGCATAATTTAAAATGTTGGCATATTTTTCTCCGGTGATGGGAGCTAGTGGTGTTGGGGGTGGCAGGGGTGGTAATGTTTTTTTTTTTTTTTAATTTTACGATTTTTTTAATTTTTTTTAATTTTTTAAAAAAAGTTTTTTTTTTTATTTTTTTAAAAAATATTTTTATTAATTTTCTATTATTTTTTTTTATGATTTTTAGTATTTTTTTCGATTATTATTATTATTTTTATGATTTTATTATTAATTAAAACATTTCACAAGTTACAAGGGTATATTTGTCCAAACACACATAAATAGTCCTATTTAGGGAATTTAAAAAAATGTAGTCCTATTTGTGCAATTTTGCCACTTTTTAGTCCTATTTAGGGAATTCACTCTATATAATACTACGTATATGTGTAGGTTATGGATATAAAACGTTTGAACAACATGATGAGTGACCATGGCATATACTCAAGGGAGAGGTTACTGATCCCCATTAGCAATCCTGACCTGCTAATGGATGGCACATGCTATGTGGAGCTGGATACCCATGCAAAAAGGGAAGTGGCAGTGTTATATCTTGAGGGATGCCCTGATGAAAATTCCAGTTGTCTGTTGAGAGGGCTCATGACATCTGGACATGGCAAGAAAAGGGTGATTGACTCCTTGAGGAGGAGCATGCGAGTTGACGACGGAATTGCTCGATACTACGTGGCAGTGTCCAATGGTGAACCCAGAACAGCCATTGTACAGTTTTCTGAGGATATGAGGTGGGAGAGACAGGTCGGGCTGGCTTAGTTTTCAAATCTTGTTTCAGATATGAGGTGGGATTTTATGCATCTATATATTGTGTGTTTAAAATTTAATGTTGAAAAGGATCCCATGAAGGGCAAGTTGTTGATCAATCAAAAACAGCAGAACAGGCAAGTACTTGTCATTCTTTGTGTCTGCTTAACCGTGTTGTGCTCTCAAATAAAATGTACTACCTATTTCACTTCTATGTATATGTTACAGACCAATTCTATGGTCGGAAATATCAACGTAGAAATCGGATGATCAGGAAGGATGATTCTGGAATCCAAAGTGGCTGAGAAAGAAATCTCTTACCTGGCAGTTTTAGGAAGCTTCCTAATCAGCAGCTTCCTAATTAGCATTTATCTCTTTCTCTAATTATTTCTAGCTTCCTATTCATCAGTTTCGTAATTAGCATTTATCTCGTTTCAATAATTATTCCTATTATGCTTTAGGCAACTTCTTAATCAGCATTTATTTTCTTTTAGAATCAGGACTCTTGTAATATAACTATATAAGGGTCATTAGTATTATTCAGCGGTGGAGAATTAATTCTTGAATCAGATTAATTCCACTGAGCTGTTTCTTATAATTCTTCCAATTAATACGTTCATCATAGATTCCGAATTACAGAATTCTCTAAGTTCTCGTAACCTGCCCACTCGTTCTCGTCTTTTCACAAGATCTTGTATGTCTTCCCTTAAGAACTTGGTATCAGCATCTGGGACGATGGCGAACGACGCTGCTAACGTTGGCTCACTCAAAGACATGATCGAAAACATTGATCACAGGCAACTGACAGTCGAACATCAATTGGGAGACACCAGGGTTCTATGGCTACTAAGCTCGCCGACATTCATAACATTGTATCCGCGCTATCTGCAAACCTGCAACGATTGATGGGCGAATCTTCCTCCAACAATCCATGACATGAACGACAACGTGACATGGAACCTCGTCGACATGAAACTGATGATTCCTTAGTTCCCCGCTACTCCAAACTGGAATTCCCTCAATTTGACGGTAAAAGTGATCCCTTGTCGTGGTTGAAACGTTGTGAAAGCTTCTTTATTCAACAATGAACACCGGCCCAAGCTCGAGTGGGATTGGCAACATTCCACATGCTCGGCCTTGCCCAACTATGGGCCGATCAACTTGAGATGGGAATTTCAGAGATTACATGGACAAACTTTTACACTCGCTGCATCAAACGTTTTGGCCCACCCAACGTTTTTTCCAAACTTCATCAAACTCGTGATCTGGAGCTCTACATAGAGAATTTTCAACAATTTTTGGCTCGAACCGTGGGGATCTCTATATGAATACAGGTCAAAATATTCACAGTTGGTCTTCGGGAGGTCATTCACATGGAGGTTGAGTACCAAAATCCGTTAGATCTGGACTCTGCGATGATGCTCACACGTAATGTTGAACGCAAATATAATTTGCAAGGCTCCTCGATCGAGATCTCCTCTCCACCCAACCTAGGGATGTCAAAAAAAAACGAGTAAAGGGTCAGTTTGGTCCTCGAAGTTGCAAAAATGGGGTCAAATAAGTCCTTATATAGAAGATTATGTCCGGACGTGCCATTTGAGGTGGCTCCCGGTAGAATTTTTTGATGATTTTTTTTGAGCATCTTATTCATTAAGTCTAGTTTACTCATACCAAATTTCAGCTAAAAATTCAATCGGGGAGACATTTAAATGAATTCTTGAAGATAACTGCGCTTTTAACGGCACAGTTATCTTCAAGAATTCATTTGAATGTCTTCCCGATTGAATTTTTATCTGAAATTTGGTATGAGTAAACTAGACTTAACTAATAAGATGCTCAAAAAATTTAATAAAAAAATTCCACCGGCAGCCACCTCAAATGGCACGTCCGGACAGAATTTTCTATATAAGGACTTATTTGACCCCTTTTTTGCAACTTCGATGACCAAACTGACCCTTATCCCTCAAAAAAACCCACCCCGCAATGACCCTCCCTGGCCCAAGGCATTTGGGGCGGGTCCGCCCTGCCCCGCCAATACAATGGGGCGGGTCTGGGTATTAGTATTGACCCGTGCCGACCCGCCCCGTCCCGACCCGCTCAATATCTAACTACACATACTTTTTCTTAAATTATATTGCAAATATACATCAACATACATATGTGTGTATACATAAATCACAATTTTTTTATCTTATAATATATATATATATATATATATATATATATATATATATATATATATATATATATATATATATATATTAGAATGAGATGAACGACGGATTATCAATGTCTTCTTTATATATAGCATTTTAATACATATATTCAATTATTAATATAATTTAATAGATTAACTATTCAAGTATGAGTAATTTTTCCTTAAATTTTGAAATTTTTAGCGTATCATGAATTTGATTTAATATATTAATTTTTAATTATTATTTAGAGATACACTTTATGTAGATTCAATGGGTAACAACTTCCCACAAATAAAAATGCATACTAGCAAATTAGGTTACGACGGGGCGGGTCATGGGTCAACAAGTTTGGACCCGTGCAGGTCACGGGGCGGGTCGGACCCGCCCCGCCAAGTCACGGGGCGGGTCCGGGTCTTGCAGTACCCGCCCCGCCCCGCCCCGACCCATTAATATGCCTACCCCAACCTGCCGGTCAGGCTATGCGCCCACACTGATCGAATCCAATCAACCTCGGGGCAACTCCATTCCAACTTTCAAAAAGATTTCTCTTGTAGAGGCTGTCATCCGACAGGAGAAAGGGTTGTGTTATAATTGTGATGATCAGTGAGTTCGTGGCCATAAATGCAAACAGTTATTTTTCATCGAAATTTTGGAAGACAATCCATTGAAAGATGACCTAGAGCCCTCTCTCTCACTTCATGCTATGGTTGGTGCTGGGACAATGAATATATTTAATTTTCTAATGGTAAAAATTTCAAAAAATTCACATTTTGAAAATTTAAAGTGAGAGGAATTCAATTATATTCTTTATAAAATAATTTTTTAATGTATTAGTAAGTAGAGTATAGTTAAAATAGAGCACATGAATAGTGTAAAACTGTAAAATATCTAATATTGCAACTATTTAAGAATGAAAGTAGTATATTCTATAATTATTATTATCATCATCTGATTCAACTAGTTTAGTAAAATGAGTTCATACTTTTCTAGAATCTAGCGTGTAAGCCATAATATTAAACTTACCAAAGAAGCTCTACGTAACAATGTATGTAAGACAAATAAAAATTATGTTGAGCAGGAGAAATCAAAGAACACACTTCAATCGTATGCGCTTGAGATATTTCATTCTCAGAGTATTATTATTGAGTGGCTAATGCTCTTATAACATTGTAATGCATAGCAATTTATTTATGTAGTGACATGAACAGACTTTCGGGGAGGAGTAGGGTAAGTTTATTTAAGTGAAAGTAGGATATATATCAAACACAAAGTAAATAATACACTTCGAATTCTGAAGATCGATCTAGATTGTGACACTGTTTGGAATGCCCTTGCTTGTGAGACCGGGTTCACTTGAAGTGAAGAGCAAGGTGTATGGCATCATCACAGGTCCTATCCTGTTCTTCAGTTTTCCTGCTATGTTCATTTTCACTATGCGGTCTTCCATGTCGCTCAACTTCTTTCCGAATCGTGCAAATGCATCCCGTGCTTCCTTATCACTTGTCCACTCAGAGGACTCTCTTTGCCCCAAGTACACCTCATCCGAAGTGTGCCTGGAGAGAATCTCAACAAGGGACATGCCTAGTAGTGCTCGAAAGGGAGGGGTTATTGTTTTGAGGAACACCTTATCTGGATTAGTCTCAAGCTCTTTATAGTCATCAGTTCCTGGGGTGGGCATGAATCTTTGGGTTATGGGAGGATGATTAGGGATATAACCACCATAAGAGTATTGTCCAAAGTTGATAGCTGCATGAAGCGCAGATGCAATCCAGATAATAATGGTACAAGAGTCAATAAGCTCCTGGATTGTTTTCATTTTAGGCCACCATGGCATGTCTTTCAAATCGCCATGTCCTTTCTCTCTGATTTCCTTCCACCAAGACTGGAGTTCAACATCTTTTTGAATCATGTCATCAGATTTGTAATATAACTTGCAATATTCATCAACCCATGTTTTGATAGATGACCATACTTCTAGTCCATCAACAGCATACGGGTAGTCTTCAATAAGCAGGCGAACACCGTGTGGGGAACATGAGTCCTCAATAGCAACACCCCTGAAATAAGGGGTTAGGTAAGAGCAAAGAGCAAAGAGAGCCTTCTCATTTACAATTCCTTGATTGAGTTAAATAAGATAAGAGAGAGTAGTAAGACTCAATCTTATTGTAGGGGTCTCACTACTCTCTCTCATTGAGAGGGGGAATCCTGACATACCTCTCAACGAGATCAGTTGGGAGTGCATTTTTAGTGAAGTCCCAGTCCCGGTACACCATGGAAGAAATTTCGAATGAATATTTGTCAGGAAACAACGTTTTCTCGAACAACCCACCAGCATTAAGCAATATTTCCCGAGACAAAGCATTTATAGCCATTGTATCATGGAAATGAGGATGCAGAAGCTTATATATTGGGTGGAGTACACTCAACTGCCTATTTGTTGCTATCACAAATGGCTCTATTACTGCATGTGTTTTCAACCTGTCATAAAGATTCCAAAACAAAAATTTAAGTAATATATGGTTAAAGTCTTCAACAACAGTTTTACCTTTGATCTTTTAATTCTTCTATACACATACCAGTGGCTGACCACTTGATGAAAGCCCGCATCATTCATGGTAGCATAAGCTTTAGCCAACTGCCACAAGCCATAATCTACACCATGCTCAGATGGCGTGTACACTTTGCTATCAGCGCCAAATTTATCTCCAAGTGGATGCGGCAAACTAAGCTCAATTGCTACTGGCTTCAAAGTTCCATCTGTTTTCAAAAAAAGCAGGGTTCTTGAGGCATATGCCTTGTTATTTGTTGCATTTATGCGCCTCAAGTATGGCATAAATGTGTCATGGTAGTCCACTATGAATAGCCGTTCATTCTTAATTGCCTGTAAAAAGTAACGAGGGATTGTTCCATCAGTTCATCAAAATGACAACCAACTGGTTCAAGAAAATATAAGTTCCAGCAGCCATGAAAAATAAACTTACCTCCTCGACAGAATAACCACCTAAGCTTTTCTGGATGTGCTCATTGTTAATTTTACTGGTCTGGTCCCCATAAACTCTAGGGTCTAGTTTGCTTTTTGGCGGGAAATCCTAGCAAGTTTAACAAAAATAAACAGCTTAAGGATTAATCCTTAACTTTTATGCTTCATACACTATTTGTTTCATTTTGATTTGGACAAACATTGATATAGTTAAATAATGAATGAAATGAATTTACTTGTAACCGACTAATAGTGACAGGGTTCGTTCCTGCCAGCATTTGTCTTCCAAATTCTTCATCTGATCTCCACGCTGTTTTATCCTCTATTCCAGCATTCAAAATTTCAGAGCTAAAAAAGTATGACATTTAGAGGAAAAATATATATTGTAAGAAAATAAACAGAACGTTTCGAATACCTTGGATAACCTTTGGGGTTGGGAATTTAAAGAGCCCCTCCCCATCACTGCGGAAAACTTCTCTTAGCATTTCAATGGAAAAGTTATCAGTGAGGAGTTTCTGCCATTCAGGCAATTTCATGCCTTGTTCATAGAGGTTCAGTATCTCTTCGAAACTGTCAAACTCGTTTGGAGTGGAATCAGACAAAGACTTAAATGCTGGATTAACGAACTGAGATAGAAATTTTAATCCATAACCAAGAGCGTCTGCTAATTTCAGGTGCCCGAAATTCTCATCCCTCGGTAGATAATTATGATTAACTAAGCTGCTCAGCAGTGGAAATGTTCTCTCAGTATTTAGATCTGGAAATGGTTATTATAAGGGAACTTTTTCAATAATGAGTTGCACAGAATGGAAGCTCACGAATGAAATATGGGAACATATATACTACCTCCATCCCCGAAACAACTTCCCGCTTTGAAATCGCTCCATATGTATATATTTGGATGGACTATATGGATGGACTTTTATATATATAGCGATGAGTTCAAGTAACAAGTGGTCATCCCATGAAAAGTGAGAACAAATCTTAGCCTTTAATCACTTATAAATGGATGGACTAGATGAACTTTAATCACAAGACACACTCAAATAATGTGCGAACGTTTATAGTACACAGTGGATATTAAATGAATAAAAGTGCACACATAAGAGTTAAAAAAGATTGCTATTTTTTTTTTTAAATTTGTGCACATTTTATGATGCACGGTTATGCACTTTTGTACTCTGCGTGTTCACTTTTTGAATATGTTAGTACACTTTTTGTATAATTTTTTTTACTAAAAGCTCTTCATAATTACTATAACGCCACCGCGTTTTTCACTTAGGAAAAAACGTGTACCAACATATGCAAAAAGTGTACATGCAGAGTACAAAAGTGCATAACAGTACATCATAAAATGTGCACAAATTTAAAAAAAATTGGCAATCCTTTTTAACTCTTATGAGTGAACTTATATTCATTTAATATTGACTTTGTACTATAAACATTTGCACATTATTTGAGTGTGCATCTTGTGATTAATGTTCATCTAGTCCATCCATTTATAAGTGATTAAAGGCTAAGATTTGTTCTCACTTTTCATGGGATGACTACTTTTTACTTGAACACATCCCTATATATATATGTGTATATATATATATATATATATATATATATATATATATATATATATATATATATATATATATATATATATAGGGTTAAGATCAGATACAAAGTATGCTTCCCTTACAAAATGCAAAATCATCTCATCCGTCCAATTTTATAAAATTAAGGGTTAGATTTGTGTATAAATGTATATGCAGCCATATTAGTGCGGCAGTTTTGAATTTGCTCTCCACCAAATGTGGACATGCGGTTATTTCATTAATAGTGAGTGGGTTTTATCATCTCTGCCGTTATTTCAATTCATATGGATGGCCAAGATTAATTTGCACTTTGTAAATTAGGATTAGTTTGTATGTGATCCTAAATCTATATATATATATATATATATATATAGAGTCCTGATCCTGTCCAGACGTCCGGACAGGAACCGCCGTCCGGCCGGCGGCGTTTGGCCGCCTTCCCGGTGGAATTTTTTGATGAAATTTTTATGGCATGTTCTCCATCAAGTCTAGTTTATCCACAAAAAAATTCAGCCAAAAACTCAATCGGGAAGGTCGTCAAATGATTTTTGCAAGTTAACTGGTCCGGAAAATACATATTCCGGACCAGTTAACTTGCAAAAATCATTCGACGACCTTCCCGATTGAGTTTTTGGCTGAATTTTTTTGTGGATAAACTAGACTTGATGGAGAACGTGCCATAAAAATTTCATCAAAAAATTCCACCGGGAAGGCGGCCAAACGCCGCCGGCCGGACGGCGGTTCCTGTCCGGACGTCTGGACAGGATCATTTGTGTATATATATATATATATATGTTCCCGTGCAAAGTGCAAAATTTGCACTTTTTCATGTTTCACTTTCAATTTTTCGTGCTTCTGTTGCACTTTTCCGCAATTGCGATTTTGGCCAAATTCGGCCAAAACCAAGGTGGCAGTTTTGTAAACAAACCAATTTTTTCGCTACCACGAAAAAGTGCAACGAAAACAAGGCAAGCGAACTTGAAAAAGTGCAAATTTCGTACTTTGCACAGGAACACTACTTTTTATTTGAACTCTCTCCCCATGTGTGTGTATGTGTGTTACCTGTTTCCGTTTGTTGTCTGCTTGTTTTTCCTCGTCGCGGATAAGGATACCTGGAATCCCCACCCAGGACTGGCCGAGCATATTCATGGCCTCTATCTGGGTCTCCAAGATCATTGTAGTAAGCGTAGTCATACACCCTATCCCATTCCTTAAGCTCACCAGTTTCCTGGCCTCGCAGGTTTACTAATTCTTTCTCTCTATATTGCTTCAATGGAATAGGCGTTTGGCAGGGTAGATATGCCTGCAAGAGGTATCATTATAAATGTAGAGAATTCATTAAATGTGCCTCATCACAAATATAAAATACATCCAAGGAGCATGAAAATTTCCCGAGACTTCCGTTATGTTTGGATGAGATGCATGTCTAAGGGCGTTACTTAAGTAAGGAAGTGAGAGGAATTGTAGGCGCGGGCAATGAGGGGAAGGTAAATGTAAATGTAAGATATAAACTTACCTTATTAGGGAATGTTAAAAAAGAAGTGCTAATTACGGAAGTGTCGGACGAAATAGATCACAATAGTGTTTGATAGAGGAGGGAAAGTTCTACCGCCGTGAGAGGTGAGGTGGGTTAAACACTAAAAAAAAAATTACTACACATATGAGGTTTAGCTTATGGCTATTATCGAACCAAGTTTTTTTCAAACTGCCCAAATTCAAATTTGATTTCGAATCTAATTTAAAGATCTGAGCTTAACGAGTTTCGAATTCCAACGCGAGCTAGATTTTGAGTTCGAATTGTTATTCAAGCCAAGTTCGAGCATATTGATGTTTGTTTCAATCCGAACTCAAGCCTATCGGTCACTTATAAACTATAAGAATGAATTATATGTATGTGTGTGTGTGTATAGATAGATAGAGAGAGAGAAAGAGTAGTGACTAGAGTAGAGATAAAATCACAATAATTTATGTTTGACTTTTAAACTTAAGTTAACATGACACTACATGTTACTTGAAATTTGACAAAAATACTCCCCTCATTCTTTTTTAGTTGCAACGGTCCACTTTGCACATTTGTCAACGCATACCTTTGACCATAAATATATATTAATCTCGATTAGTAAAAAAAAACAGTTTTTGAAAATTTATAATGTGACAAATGGAACAACATTTTTTTTTAAATTCTTATAAATTAATAATTAAAAATGTAGTCAAAGTAGAGCGTGCGAATAGTGTAAAATTCAACATGTTGCAACTACAAAATTAGAACGGAGAATAGTATATAATTTCAACATTTTTTAATTAAGCCAAAAGTTGAAAAAACTTTTCTATTTTTTTGCTAACACTCCCTTAGAATATTCCACCTTGATATAACCAGCATTAAAAAAAAGTGTGGTGTTCATCTTACGGATACAACAATCGATGAGAAACGTGGGAAAAACGAACATTTTGGAAAAGCGAAATTCATACCTGGTTTGAGAAGAAGACGCGATCGTAGTTATAGTTGGTAGCAGGATAAACCCAGGAGAAGCATATAAAGTGGACCTGGCCATGACCGGGAACTTCATCTAGGGTTAGGGTTTTGAGGAAGAACTCATTGGGATGGTTGTTGATGATGATGAATGCTCCTGGAATTCCCAGGTCCTGAGTCCACTCGAAGGTAACTCGGAATGCTGACTCGCCGTCAGCCAAAAGAGCGTTGTTCAGCGCCCAGTTCTCCAAGTACGCTGCCTTGCTGCGCTTTCCTTTCAGCCCATTTGCTGCAAATTTGAATTTATCATAATAAGTAGCAAGCTGAGAATAATCTTATTCCAGTTTCAATGGTAGAAGAGTGAATTTGAATGTCAAAAATGTCTTCATTTAACAAAAATTAGTCGACTGAATTTTCAATCTAATAATAGCATCTTAATAAAATTAAACAATAATGCCATTTGATGATTATCAAAGTCTTAATTGTCACCACCAAATCAAATTATATACAAACATCAAATGTCATCAACTCATTACAAAGTAATAGTATCATCTTATTGTACGTCCGCATGCAATTAACACAAATGTCATTTTATTATAATGATAAAACAGAGAATAAATATGAATAGTTTTATTATGACATTATATTATAAGTACTTCATAGTATAAGTGTTATACTAGTAATCTAGTATAAGACAATTTGTTTATATTGAATCGTGGCGTTTTGACATTATTATTTCCATCGGGATAATGAACAGTTGCTCTTTTCTCTTTGTTCATATCAATAATATCATAGTTAGAGAAAAATATTGTTGAATCCCAATATAATTCATTAAGCGTTGTAATAAATTATTTTAGAGGAATTTGACTTTGCACGTGTTACAAGTTTTGAGTGATATCGGCCTATTTTCATAATCATAAATGTGTTATGTGTGCACCCCGACCCATTTAGCATAAAATCTATCATTTGACTCGGCACACTCATTTCTATAGAGTTTTTGTACTGATTACGTGCTTACGTTAATGATTCTGAAATGGAGTGCAAAGTCTAATATAGCTCAATAAATGGTCTGCAAAGTCAAATTTCCCCATAATCTCATTCATCATCATGTTATATGTTTATTTAGTACTACCTCCGTCCCATTTTATGTGTCTTAGTTTAACTTGACCCGGTTATTAATGAAGTGGTTGAAAAAGTAAAAGTTGTGGTTGAGGTTTGAGTATAATAAAGTGGAATGGTGTAGACCACATATTTCTTTCCAAAAAAGGAAAGGAGACGTACTTATTTTGAGACAACCCAAAAAGGAAAGTATGACAGGTAAAATGGGATGAAAGGAGTAATTAGTACGGAGTATTAGCTTTTTAGAAAATCTATTGATGGGGGGTGTTTGGATATGATTAAAACTGTTTCTGATTTGGTCCCTGAATTGAAGGAGTAGAAGCAGAAGTTCGAGTGTTTGAGTGAAAGTGCAGAAACACTCCTGATGCTCTAATTTACGTTACTCATAGCAATTTTTTAGAAGTTGGGGGAGCGTAACTTCTGAAAACTAATTCCGATTCTGTTTCAAAAAAGAAGTAGAAGCAGAATCAATTCCAAATGTCCCTTCCATCCATTGACACGCATGATGCAACATCATCTTAACATGGTTAACATATGAAGTGGGTGGTCAACCCAATCAACATTGATGGAATATGCTTGACTCACGCTACTGATATTTTTTAAACACACATAATATTGCATTGGAAAAGGTAACTATTACGGAGTATAATGATCCAATAACGAACGACAATATTTTGGAAATAACCAAGTCCAAAACAACATTAACAAGAATCATCAGAATTGAACAAACATATATAGCAGGATGATTGAAGAAAGTAAACATGTGAAATTTGCAACTGACCAGAATCTGTGTGAGTCGAACTGATAAGTTCCATCGACACCTTCTCACCAAAAACATCACTAATATTATCAGCAATAGAAGAAGGGATGTCGTTCAGGTCTAAAATATTTTTCCTCATCAACACCACCGTCCCCTTTATCTTCTTCATTTGCGTCAATGTATCAACAAACTTTTCTGTTGACATTTTTCTGAATGTCAAATTAAGTGATTTTCTCTCTAATCTCTATTTTTTATATGATGTTTTGTTAGAATTGAAGGAGCTAGACTCTTATTTATAGGTGATGTGGTCATGCATGACTGCATGTTTCTATGGGATTTTAATCCATATCATGGAAACTTTATATTTTGCACATGTAGTGTTGGGCCTCGTTTTTTTAATTCCATGAAAATGAACTTATATTGTAGCAAATAAACAGGTTGATTGTATACCAAAAAGAAGAATTGTGGAACGAAAATAAATCTGAAGGAGAATATTATAGAAGAATAATAAATATCTGTTAATTTGAATCGATCAAATGAATAAAAATATTCAGAAAATAAGACGCATAGTGAGTAAGTGACTATAATCGTCCTAAAAAAAGACTATTATAGTCACTTACTATTTATTCAAATCATTATTTCATTATCTATTTATATTTAAATTATGTATTTACAATATTGTAATTAGTCCATGTGAATGAGAATTGAGATATGGCACCTTGTAAAATATTACATATTATATACTAGTATACTACAAAAATTTCCATTAATTTAAGGGTCAAATATGTTTTTAGTCACTTCAAATATAGTACGTACATTTTGTTTTACATCCCTGCAATTTTTTTTTTTGTTTTTTCGTCCTTGCAATTTAGGTTGGTTTTCTTTTTAGTCCATCACTGATGATAGTAACCTCTGTTTGATCTCAAAATAACCTTTATTAATAGACCTCCTCTAATTCTTTGTCATGTTAATTAAAAAAGTATTTAATTTTATTTTTTAGAAGGTTTTTAATATATATTTTTAAAATGTGAATACTTAGTTTTACGCTATTTTATCTCTCATATTAGCCTCAAAAAAATTATAAAAGGAAGAATTTAAATGTATCTAGTAGATTTATGTAACTGACAATAACTCTTTTTTGTAAGTAGAGTAGTTTCAGAATCAGAGATGGACTAAAATCAAAATAGTGGATATTGCAGAGATGAAAAACAAGAAAAATATTTTACAGGGACTTTAAACAAATTGTGTCATATTTGCATGGACTAAAAACGTATTTAAACCTTGATTTGATACTATTATTCGTTCTTTCCGGACGTTTGTTTGGAAATTCAACCATGCACAAATTAAGTACTTTGATGTGTCTAAACTCAGGGGCGGACCGTAGTACAGACCCAGGGGGGTGGTCGCCCCCCCAACAACAAAAATTTTTAGTGTATATATATAATAAAAAATAATTTTCGCCCTCCAAAAAAATATTTTGTTTAAGTTACCGCCCTCCCAAGACAAACTTCCTGGGTCCGCCCCTGTCTAAACTGTAATGATGATCCGACAAAATTAAACTAAAACTTATAGATCCCGTGTGCCTGTGTATTTGTAAATATTAGAAACATGAACCGAACGTCCGAACTAAGGGCTCATTTGAAGGTATAAACATTTGCAACGATTAATAAAGGGTAAATGGCAAAAAATTACCTCTATTAATTATTTGGGATGATTAAAATATTACCACATTTCATTTTACCAGTAATGTGACTAACCTCTTTCTACTTAATAAACATTTCTTTTAATACTACTAATTCCTACCCAACTACTCACTTATGTCCTCTCGCAAGTCGCAACAATTGCCGACGGGTTTCTTTTGGACTGTTTTCAGTATCAGATCAGATCAGACCAGATCAGATCATATTAGATCAGACTTCTGAAGTTATAAAATACACAGAGACTAGACGTTTTCCAGACTAGATCAGACCAGACCAGATCAGATCAGCAAATTTCAGTCCAAAAGAAAACATCCTACGGCCGTTGGACAAGTTTACCGATTTTTTTTTCAGTTTTCCTAGTTTCTCACCCGAAAAAGTTGTTTAAATTTTTCAAAGTGACACTTGTGAGTTGTGACAGAGACAATGACACTAGTGGCGGCATGAATGCAAATGGTCACTGACAGTGACATAATAAAAAATCGCAATGTGCTACAAATCTACAACATATTTTTGACACAAAATGTTGAGCATCTCCAATATCACAATGTGCACGACTGCACGGTGCACATGTGACATGAGAGGGATTGATACATAAATATTACTATCTCTGTCCCGCTAAGATTGTCCCATTTTACCTTTTCGGTCCGTTCCACTAAGATTGATTCATATCAAATTTGGTAAAGTTTGTGTGACTCTAAATCATTATTACTTTATTTTTACTTTATCAATTCATTATCAATCACATACACCACTTTTTATTAATTTGTGTGTCACTCTCTCTTGTCCCATTGTTAGTGGGATGGGGGGAGTAGTAAGCAAAATATTTCTTTTCTTATTTGAATGATTTTATATGTTTTTGAAAAGTTGTTCTCCACGATGTCAAGAAGAATATCTAGATGTAGATATTGTTGTTGACATTATTACCAAAATTATATAAAACTGTGAAAAAGGAGAGAGAAATGTCGATGATTTATTTTTACAAGTTTATCTTTTTCATGTCACATGTGAACTGTGCACATTTGACGCTCTTAAGAGAAAAGTGGTAGAAGTAATGGATATTGTAGAAAAAGTAGGAGCAAATGTGGGAAAATATGAAATGTAGGTTAAAAAAATAGAATAAGTAACGATATTTGAATATTTTTAAAGGAAAAACTTATTGAAAAAGGAAGGCGTAGTAAAAATTAATATACATTCCAATAATGAAAGTATAACAAACAAAAGAATAAGGATGAAGTATTATTTAAGAGAAACCCCATAAATAAATATACAAACTAAAAAGTTGTTGTAATAACATTAAATTTATTTTATTAATTTTTAATTTTTGCTAATTACAAATTACTTTATTCGAGTCATTTTTTTGTAGTATATGAACTAGCATTGTAATGTTTATAGATAAAAGGCTATTTTTACGACAGAAGATACAATCATACAAAGGCTTAAAGCCAAAATCTTGACCAAAACAATCTACCCCGGGTTTTACCAGCTCAATGGAGTTTTAACCGGCTATATGAATTGGTGCCTTGATCGACGAATCTAAACCAATTTATGTCTTGTGAGATAGATATGTGGTACACATGTATTACTCGTAGTAAAATAGCTATGCGAGTGGCTACATAAGCGTCAACATATTTTCAATGTTGATTAATTTTCAAACTTTAACATGTATTATTGTCCGTACATTGAAACTCATAGCTTCAAATATAATGCAATTGTAAACAACAGAAAATCACAAGAAAGAATTGTATGGATAAATATGGGAGCTTCAAAAGACATACACCGTAATATATTCTAGGAATTGTATCAATTCATGACATAAAAAATGTGTTCAATAGACCTTAATGATTAGGGCTGAGTCCGAAAAACTGAAAACCGAAAACCGAAACAAATTAAACCGAACCGCAACCAAATAAAATCGAACCGCTAACAAACCGAAACCGAATGTAAAAAACCGGACCGAACCGTAGTTGTTTGGTTCGGTTTTGGTTTTT